GAACCATCCTTCTTTCTCACCTCGGCGAAAAACTTCTGAAGCTTCTCGTCAAGTTCCTTGGCTTCGTAGCCTACAATATCTGGACTGTATCCTTTTTCTTCCGCCCATGTTGTCTAAACAGTAACCCAGGTCTTAGTGCTTTTCTTTGTGTTCGAATTTTCTGCATTTTCCTTAAACTGTTGCAGTTCTTTCGCGTCACAATCGGGAAATCTATCCGCCATTGTTTTAAAATTGTAAAACAATAAATTTCCAGTTACCATGGAAACTGGCTGTAATTTTTACTTGCAAGTATTTCAAATTTGGCTCAAATACTACTTAGCCAATCACATTTTAGAAATTTCTCAACCTGTAGTTTTCACTAAAGCTGCCCCCGCCTTCTTTTATTTCTGCTGATCGAAAACAATTGAATTTTATTGTATGAACTAAAAAAAATATTTCTTTTGTAAACTATATCACTCATTATGTTCCAGCAACTTATGATATGATCCAAACAATCATCTAAGTTAACTAAACCAACACATTCTATTTAACTCATTCTATTCCAGACAGTTTTAAAGGATAAATTTAATTTAAAAATTTAAAAGTGAATGGGCCTCCGTTACCATGCCCATCTCGGTCGTGCGGCCGTAAGAAGATGACAGTTTTCCCCACGGGTGCATTCTCGCCTATGGACACCGTGAAGTTAGTGTTGCTAAACTCCGGCGGGTTATCATTCAAGTCGTTGATGGTCACGTGAACTTCGGTTTCAGAGGAGAGCGGCGGTACACCTTGATCTTGAGCCCGCACTGTCATGGAATACTTGGACACTGCTTCGTGGTCGATAAGCCCATCAGTAGTAATGATTCCACTCAGGGGGTCGACTTTAAACTTACCAGCCTCGTTACCCTTCACGATTGAATACTGAATGTCTCGGTTAGGACCGCTGTCCTGGTCACTGGCGAAAACTTGGAGGGCAAACGTGTCCGAAGGAGAGTTTTCGTCCGGTGTACAGGTCCCATCGAAACTTGGGGGCGTGGTCATTAGCATCTGTCACTATCACCTCTAATAATGCGGTGGTAGTGAGAACAGGTGGACCGACATCGCTGGCTTGAATTGTCAGCGAATAGGTCTTCCTTGTCTCGAAATCAAGGCTGCCTTGAAGGGTAACAACTCCAGTTTTCTTGTCAATCTTGAACATATCTGAATCTGGGCCTTGGAGGATCTCGTACGAGATCTCTTCTCGTCCAGCCTCCCTGCTGATGGCGATCATAGTTGTTATGTTCGCTCCAATAGTAGCATCTTCGCTGATATTTGCCTTGAAGCTGGAGTCGTTGAACTCCGGTGGCACGTCGTTTATGTTCAAGACCTGAATCACAACGGCGCATGTACCAGATTTGGAGGGAGTCCCTGCGTCCTTAGCCTGCACAGTCAGCACATATTTCGCCTGGTCCTCTCTGTTAAGAACCTTCTTCAGAGATATTACACCGGTTTCAGATTCAATACTGAATGTATTGCCTACTCTGTTCAACAAAGAATAAGAAATCTTTCTGTTCTTTCCAATGTCGACATCATCTGCTTTAACTTGAAGCAATATTTTGTTAATTCGCGCGTCCTCGTACACAGACTTCCTGTATTCTAAGTGCGTGAAAAACGGCGCGTTGTCGTTGACGTCTTCCAGCAGGACTGTAACATAGCTTAAACACACCTGTCCTCCACGGTCTTCCGCTGACACCATGAAGTTAAACATATCTTGAGCCTCGCGGTCTAATGACGTCGCTGTTACTAGGCGTCCTACCGAGAGAATGATTGCAATAAGTAAGCTCTGCAACAGTACCTCTGTGTTTTCAGCAGTTAACTTTCAAAACACAGACGAGCGAATACCCGCTACTACTGGCTCAAGTTAATCATTGCGTTGAAAACGGATAAGCTACTCTTTTCAGATGAAGAAAGGGAAACTGGACAAGAAGTAAGATTTTAACGAAGACCAATGCGAATTACATCTATCATGTCAATCTCACACGACACGAGACAAACAAACAGCTACAAAGACTTGCAAAAGATGGAAAACGAAACGTGACAAGCTCTTTGTCAAACTTCTGTCAACTATGTATGCAATCACGCTAAGAAATGAGTTAATTCACTTAGTAAGAACAACGAAAATCAGTCAGCTATTTTATTGATACTACGAAATGTAACCTAAACTTAGGACAATGCAACGCATAACAGGACGTGGCGTGACAGCGTGACTCACCTGTTCCATTCTCAAAAGTGAAGACTCATCTCATCATGACCATATACGGAGTATCTCACCTTCCCATCATCGTCAGCGTCTGGATCAGTAGCCTCGACTACAGACACTTCTGTACCAGGCGCCACGTCCTCGCTAAGATGAACAATGGTGATGGACTGGGTACAAACTGGAGGATTATCATTAGCATCTAGCACTGTGATGTTCAAAGTGGCGAAGCTGGTGTAAAGACCATCAGACGCACTCACGTTCAGTTTATACGACGATACAGTCTCGCGGGCTAGCGAAGAGTGCACAAAAACTTTGCCCGTCTTCTGCTCGATTCCAAACTTAGTTTGAGGATCACCAGACATGATAAAGTAGTATATGTCCGAGTTCAAGTCTTGATCCTTAGCCAAGAGTGTGCCAACTTCTTGTCCAATCAAAGCGTCTTCACGAACGAAAAACTGAGAGAATTCCTGAGAAAACTTCGGTGGAGAATCGTTCACATCCAGCACGGTTACATGTACAGCGGTATGACCCGACATCTGAATGACCTCGCCTCTATCAGTGGCGCCGACGCTCAGGACAAGGAAGTCAGAGAGTTCGCGATTGAGTGGCGCCGCTGTTGTAATCCAGCCAGTTTGCTTGTCAATAGAAAAGAACATGGATTCTCTCTTGTTAATGTGCGTGAAATCGTACAGAATCTGCCCATTGTTTGCGTCGTCTAAATCCTCGGCAAACACTCTCAGAAC